AAAAAATGAGGACCTCTATTTCAGTAGATCTATTTCTGTACCATCTCCTCTCAGCCATAAAGAAGACTTAAAAAGTTAGTGGAATTGTAACTATGCTATACAGTCTTTTTTAGATGGGAGTTGTGTAAAGAAAAGGGACCCCGTTCACTTGATTCGAGATGACACAGTGCTGCCAATTTTCTTCCTAATCCTCTTAGGCCAGTGATACATGCCTGGATGTGATTGGTGGCCGGGACACACCTGGAGCCAAAGTGGCTCTATGGACCGAACACGGACAGTTCCGGCAGAAGTGGAGGCTGAACAGAAATGGAACCATCAGCTCCTATCTCAGTGATCAGCTTGTCCTTGATGTTAAAGGTGGGCCTTTGAACAAACCCACAGGACAAACGTTGTGTGTCCCTGGATGTAATGTAAATTCCAAACCTCCTCCTCTTCCTGGGTAAAAGAAATACTAAGCTATTTCTAATTATTCTTGAAAAGAGATAACGCTGTTTTAATGAACAAAACAATTAGCTACTTGGATCAAGTAGGAAAAGCCTAAGGACAAACCTTAGAAGGTTTTTGTACATTAGTACAGTTGTAAAATCCTCATTTGCTACGTGATCTTTGAGAACATTTGTAAATGTGAAGCTTCATCAACTATAAGATGTCCTGTTTCTTAGAAGAAACCTCTTTTTGCTGTGAACTGCTGTACTCCTTAAAAACCCTCAGTTAAAACTGACGGTGGGTATTGTTCAAGCTTGTTTATTAGCAAGGTCCGGGCTGTTGCTTTAACTGGCTTAGTCATAGCCACTGTCCCTGTGGAAGCAAAATCACAGCCCCTGACATTCAGCCAGAGCCGCCTCCGACCCAGCGCTTTGACTGCAAAAGCAGTGTGCCCCAACAAAGCGATTCTGAACAACAATTTACACCCCTTAGTTTTTCAGTTTGAGCCATGATAAGGTCCGGTTTGAGGTTAATAACAGCTAAGCTTATTTAAACTCAGTTTTCCATCTCAGGCTGCTCTGTAAATCAAATATTATTCTACCACACAATGGGCTGAACAAAAGCTTGTGAACATGGTTAAGCACCTGTGTGAACAAATCATCTTTTCTTTTGGAATCTCTATTGTAGGAGGAAATTATTATGACAAGACGCATGTAATTGTAAATCAACCCCTGGAAGGAGAAGAAACACAGAAATGGGACATTGAAATATTGTAAGAGAATTGGCAACATCTCGAGAAAGAGCAAAGGAAGAAGGAACTTCACATCCCATGGAGAGGAAGCTCCTTGTCCTCAGACTTCTCCATCACTGAGCAGAAGGTTTTCTCCCAGGTTCCAATCCATTGTTGTTAACCGTGGAAAAGCTCAAAGTGCTCTTGCCAGCTATTCAGTGTTCCTATGAAGAACACATGTTCTGATTTCTGTGAAAGGTTCTATTCCTGCTTGATCTCCATCAAGTGTGTGTTTTCTCTCCTAAGATCCTCCTAGTAGATGGGTGTGAGTGCTAAGCACAGGACAACAGATTCCTTTAGGTCAAGTTATACTTTTCCTAGAATACCTGAAAACATATTTTCTTTTTTTAGCAATACCTGAAAACATATTTAATAAGCCTTCCTATTAAGCTGCTGTATTTAGGTAAGCCTTAAAGGTTCTTCTCTATTGAAGCTTTTATAACAGAAGCACCTTAAGTATTCATACTTGTAACTGACCCCAGGGAGGACCTCAGCTTTGTTAGGAAAAAGGCTCAAGTACTGGCATATTTTCTGTGGCCAAGCTAAAAAAAAAAAAAAAAAAAAAAAAAAAAAAAAAAAAAAAAAAAACACAAATAACCTGTGGCCATCCTTTTCCTCTGTAGTAACAGGCACCCTTCAGGGTGGCAAGACTGTAACCAGTGGTCACCTGTCCTGGTGCTGAGGCCTCATCCTAGATTCTGCCTGATCTGCCCTCGAGGAGTGTTTAGTCACAGTTTTCTTTGCTGAAGTAAATTTCAGATGTTCAAATGAAAACCCAAATAGTATTTGAGCCTTGACTCTACCATTTTATTTAATTAAATGACTGAAAACTCAGCTTTCCATTTATAAGCAAAATCAGGTTGGATATCAAGTAATGGTTACCACCTTTAAAAATTAGTTCTTAGTATTTTTTCCTCCTGAGTTGGTTTTAAACAAATTGAGACAGCTGTTCCCCCTCATCCCCAACTTTTACCAGAAAGCAAAAAACCACCTATTTTTATATAGATTCAATCTGCTAGCAATATTTTTAAATATCCCCCTATAAGCACTTTAGAATATAAAATAACAGTGAATTGTTTAAACACAAAGACCCGCTATTTTGAGCATTTTTTTTTATAGAGACTTGGTCTTTCCATGTAAATTTCCTTCACTCTCAGGCTTTTTGTCATCTTCGAAGCAGCGTTGTAAAACTCCCTTAAGCCCATAGATGTGAGTGCCTCTCATTAGTTTGGCAGTATTTAATGAAACTTATAGGGGTAAATTTATTTTAATGGGGGGGTTATGTATACACAAAGGTATGTATATTTTCATTGTAAAAAACCAATTTAAAATTTCTTTAATTGTTGAAAAGATTTTTATAGAGCCAGTGAAGCTCTTTAAAGAAGTTGTTTCTTCCAAAGAACAAAGCCAGGTAAATGACATTCAAATTTCAGTGATACATTTATTGGAGTTGTACCTTTTCTACCACACTGGATTAAAGAAGTTTGTCAAAAGTACGGTTTTGTTACTTTCTGAGACATATACTTCATCTGCCATTCTTTCCTCCATGTGCCTCTGTAATACACATGGCCAACCAACTTCCTGAAACAGGGAGGGCTCACGTTGTTAGGTAAGGACAGTTGTAGAACCATTCCCAAGCTGCTGACTGAAAGCAACAGAAGCTGCCTAGCACATAAATGTTTGCTCCTCCTCTTCTCATACGTATGTAACAGATGGTCCGTTCTCAATTCTGGAAAGGCACTAGACTACCTGGATTAAGCATTCTGTCCACAGGGATAACACCAGATTTTCCTTTTCCTCATCTGTAGGAAGTTTCAGGTTCTTGACAGAAACAGCTGGATGGCCCCAAATTTGCTTCAGTGCATCCATATGTGATAAAGGAAAGCGAAGTCCATGAGACTGAAAAAGGACAAACCATTTAGATAAAAAATGTACTTTCATAAAAAAAACTTCTATAGTTAACCTTAAAAGTATGCAACCTACAGAACTGGCCAATTCCCATATAAAAATTTAGACTTTATGAAAGGCATCCTAGTTTATATAATAGTCATTTGCACTGCTTCATATTTATTACATTACACATTTCCTTCAAGGCTGCAAGTCCCAGCTAGGATCTTTTAAAGCTGGTATATGTACATCACAGAACTGTCTGGCTTCATCATCCCCATGCAAGGGCTTTGTCAATTGTGTGAAACGTTAAGTCCATGCTGCGATCATAAAAAAGCACATCACCCATAAATCAAAGGTAACACATTCTTCCCAGCCACCACCAAATCACAGGAAAGACATTTTAGGTTGGAACGGACCTCTGTTTCCTCATTTCCCATCATGTGTGTCTCTCTCCTGTTCTTTAAGGAATGATAGATGTAAATCATCTTTTCCTGAGTTTCGTCCTTTAAAAGAAAAAAGGGGAGGGGTGGGTTAAGTTGTCAACAACAAAATAGGAGGTGACTACTAGGAGTGTTTTCCAATAATGAAATTCAACACCCAGAATACTGTAAAGAATCCTTTTGACACAAAATGATTATATACAAGGTATATATTATAATCAGATTACTATTTGTATGTAACAAATAGGCACTTTTTAAAGAGTGTAGCTGGTAGAACATCATCAGAAATGGGGTTTAAGAAAACAAATGTTTACATATCAACTTATCAATGAAACACAAGTTTGTTCCTTTAATCCTAACAGCACAGTTTTATGTCAGAATTTGACATTCCCAGTTATAGATAAGCTGACAATTTATGAACACCATGGAGCAAATATTACCAGCCACAGGAGCTATAAAAACTTCCAATTACAGTAGCCTCCCAAATAGTCCCAACTTCCCTTCCTTTCCATCCTACACAGGGGGGTTTATCATCCTCATCAGAACCCTCACTCATTCCTGGTCACCTCTTACATCAGGGTCAAAGACCTTGGCCTGATACAGAAGGTCTCAAATTCTGTATATCAGAATAACTAGGATTTTTTTTTTTTTTAATAGGAATACAAGAGTGTATACTTCTGAGGTTTTTTTTCCTGTGTGTTTTATAAATCAGTCCTCTCCAGGTCTGGCCATGATGGCTGTGACAGTCTGCTTATAGACACACCTAGCTGCCCCACACTCTCATCCCCTTCCAATCATTTATGGAGTACCTATCAAGATAGCGAATTAAAAGGAAGAGGGTGAAGTCATAGGGCAGGGGATGGTGTCCAGGGAGCTTTACTAATAAATAGAGAAGCTCCAACCCAGAGCAGATGAAACCCAGGAATTTAAAACTTCTAAAACTTTTCCAGTTGGGGCACCTGGGTGGCTCAGGCATTTGTGCCTCCGACTCTTGATTTCAGCTCAGCTCATGATCTCACAACAGTGAGATCAAGCCCTGAATCAGCATGCCCAGCATGGAGCCTGCTTAAGATTCTCCTTCTCTCTCTTTGCCCCTCCCCCACTGGCACTCACTCCAAAAAAAAAAAAAAAAAAAAAAAAAAAAAAAAAAAAAAAAAAAAAAAATTCCAGTAGAGTCAAGGATCAGTTAGCCAGTTTTGGCAACCATAGGATTAGGTGACAAGGTTATGGAATGTCGACTTTCTTCTCCATGATCTACAAGATAGAGATTTTTTGAGAAGAAACCTTCACAAAGCCATACGTAATGATAGATTTGGACAACATTCAGGAGGGGAGAGGGACTGAGGGAGGTGCATGAACAAGGGTCTGCAGTTATCTGAGCAAGAGCAGTATGGCCTGAGACCAGGCAATAATCCCCACATGAGGGGAATAAAGGAGAATCTGTGGGGATGAGGGCAAGCCCCAAACGTCCAACAGGCAGGCCTCTCTGGCCCAGTGAGATGTAAGCACCATCTGATTGATGTAAAGCCAGGGCACAAAGTTATGAGGACAGATGCATGAGGGGTAAAGGCAGGGGCCGTTTGTTAATTTGATAACCTGAGGCCCGTGACAGAAATGTTCTGAGAAAAGAGGAAACCTCCTCCCCTCTGTATACTCACAGACTGATCCTGATGCAGCCCTACTGTGAGGATGGTGTGGTCTTTAAACTGCAGTCTCACTGTGCTGTCCAACCTTGGTAACTGTCCACCTAGAAGACCCACAGGGAGAAAGACAACCTTCACAAGAGGAAACCCAGGTTGAATCTTGTCTGTGGGTAAAATCTAAATGTGGGGTACCCTCCAACTCAAGTATTGGCTTACCCTGTATTTATAATGATACTGAAATATAGTTTACATCCTTATGGAGCTCATTCTTCCAGTGCAGATGTTTAACAGATCAGTAACGATAGATGGTTAAGCATATTAAATAGATGTATACAATACCATGGAAGCATGACAACTGTCACAATAGGGCCACCATGCCTTCTGCACACAACACTCCCTTCCCCAGTTTCTGTCCTCTGCCTCTTGCTCTACACGTGGACCCTGAAAGGACTGCGTTCAAACCGCACCATCTCACCAACTAGTTGTATAATCATAGCAAATTATTCTATCCATGTAGGTCAAGCATAAGATCATAAAAGCCAGCTAATAAAATTCACAGAAATAAAAAAATAGTCCTTTCCCAAGTTAGATTTAACTTAGTGAAAAAGTAGCCACTAAAAACAGACTAATCTTACAGGGTCATCTGGTTAAAGAGTCTTGAAAAAACAGAGCCTTATGGACGATAATGGCTAAGACAAGGAAAACCTTAGAGAAGATATTCCGTGCCATAAGCTGATACTCAGAAAACGGTTCTATAAAGATGAAAATATATGCTGAAAAAAATCTGCTTTGAATAGGACCAAACTAATTCTAAACTTCCCCTAAAGATTGTACTAAAAACATAAATAGAATCAATGTTAGAGGCAACCTTATAGACTATTTCAGTGGTTCTCAACTATGATAAATAAGGTTTTAATAAAAATTAGTAAAAATGAGACTCTTACTCCATGGTGAAAGCACCAAGCAGCCTGAGATTGGGCCTGGAGCTCACAGCCACGTGTCAGTGCTCTGCTGAACACAGTCCCCCTGAACACCAACAGTAAGCAAGGCCCCTCCTCTGTGAGAGAGCCAGACTAAAACAAGACCGCTCCACAATCATGTCTGAACTCAGGCAAAAGCAAGAACTTTGTCCCAACCTCCAAAAGGACCACAGGTCCCCATCCTGCTAATCCGGGAAGCAGATCCCATTTTACTAATTCCAACTTCAGCTTCCTTTCACTCCTCCTGCCTACAGAAGACCCAATTAGACTCCCTATTTTCTGTCAGCATCCAACTCAGAGCAAAGCCCCACTCTCTTAACCCTCCTAAAAAATCACCTAACCAGAGCCCAAATCCTATAAAGCCTTCCAACACTCTTTTACTGAGATGCCCCACAACCCTCAATAGTGTGCGGTCTTCCCAGTTGCAGTAAGTCCTAAACCCATTTGTCCCCCTGCAGGAGTGCCATACTGATGGTATGCTATCACCATCTATCCACAAGTGTTAGGTCATTTGCAGCCTAAACCTGTCCCAAAGTAGTCACATGGGACTTAGGGAAAGTTGGTGACCACCTTGGGCATTCTTAAATTTCACCTGCTGGTGGCAACATTTTACCCATCACTGAGTTCATCTTGTTGGAATTAGTTCAGTGTTCAAGTTATTAAAACTTCCTGAAGATGATGAATACCAGAGGACCCATAAATACACCTATTTTTCACCCACAATCACAGGGCTCTTTCTCCCCAACATGCTGGGAGGCAGGATGCCTAAAGGTACAGCATGTCCTATCCAAACGTAACACGCCAAAGACAGATCCTGGTCCACCTTACCAGCTTCTTGGGGCACCTGAGTGGCTCACTGGTTAAGTGATGGACTTTCGATTTTGGCTCAGGTCATGATCTCACGCTTCGTGAGATGGAGCCCTACATTGGGCTCTGCACTGACAGCATGGAGCCTGCCTGGAGATTTTCTCTCCCTCTCTCTCAAATAAACTTTAAGATGCTTCTTACTTTCCATCTTCCCAAAGAGGAGCCCACCCAGGAAAGCCTCAAAATATCCCACATCAGCCCAACCACCTAGAAGAAAAGCAAAAGCTCCACCTGGCGTTGAAAACTCTGATCCGTCTCCCATATGGTAAGGGGGAAGTCTGTTCATAACAAAATCCTTCTTCATGTCTGCTGAAAGCAGCTCTTTGGTGCCCTCCAGGCGGTCTGCAAGGGTCCTCAGAAAGCCACTTAATCTTGTTGCAACAGCTGTGGCTTCCACCTGCTGGAAAGAGAAGTGAGTGCTGGCCCAAACTCCAACAAGACTTACCACCAAGGTCCTGGTCTCCAAAGTAGTACACTGAGCATAATCACCCAGTACAGACGAAGATCCATGACGCTTCTGGGGGTACGGGGCAGGGGACAACCAGTGTGTTTAAGAATACCCCATTATTTCCTTGTAACCATTATTCATCATAAGCTGCCTTTTGTTAGCCAAAACAAGATCAATTGTCAGGATTTTGCCTAGAAAGAGGGATCCCTAGAAATATGGTGCAGTCTCGGCTCTGCCTTTAGGAAGGCAACTCATCGTCCTGAGGTGACTGCTTCAGACAGTGAAAGTAACCTTTGCTCATCTTAGCACTAATTCAGTCACCTCAAAACTAGCCTAACAGTGCTGCTGTTTCAAACATAAAACAAGGATGCAGGGGAAAGCCAGGAATACCCCAGTACCCCAAGGATCTCCTGTGGGTCTCTCCTAAGTAATCATGTGCAATCAATCTATGGCTCTCCTAGCCACACGTCTTACTTATTCAACCACTTATTCAGCCAGCGTCCTCACAGCGCCTGCTACTGCCACCGTGACATATGGAAAGAGGGCTGTCTGCACAACACCCTAAGCTCTTTGGGTCCCACGTCACGTGCGGCACGACCCTCCTCTGCAAACCTCCCAGCTCTGCCGTCAGCCCAGGAGACAAGCTTGACTCCTGTGGGAGGAAGGATCCTGGGGTTCCTCCGAGGGGGACCACAGCTTCCGCCGGCCTGGGCTGCCACTCCCCCCACCCGCCTTCACTCCTCACCAGGAGCAGCTGCCGGGGTATGCCAGCCCGGAACTCCAGATCTTCCTTTGCGGTGTCAAACACAAGCCCCGACATGGTGTCCAAAAGGAAATCTCCCCATGAACTGCAACATGCACCAAAAAAGAAAACAGACCACACACGGAATTTACAAAAAACACTGATTTCGAGAGTAAATCCCAAAGCTACAAAGGGCATTCCAACTTTCTTCCCTTCCCCAGGCATCGTGAGTTTAATTAATTTGACATTACTCAGCACAAATTTAAAAGACCTTCATCAATCACACAGCTTCTCTCCCCCGCCTTTCCCAGACACTCACGTGGAAAGTTAAAAGTGGGAAGCTAGACTTTATTCACAATTTTTCCTAAAGATACCACACAATCATATACAGTCTAAGTGGGAAGTTCAAGGGACCAATATTTTTTAATGTCTTTAACTATAACACAAGTGTCTATGAGAGGAGCTTTGTAGGAGATTTTAACAATTATAGGACATAAAAAATGTTTATGTTCAAAAACTCCAAAAGAAATACATTTAGGGTAACCGTAAGATCCCTAGACTGTGTAATCATCTGAACTGTTAGACGCTACATTTTCCTTTTTCCCTTGTAACAGAGGGGCACTCTTCCCCAGTAAAATATCCAACATCACAATTTTAAAATAGTCAACTTGCAACTTGTTGAAACTCTAGCAGTGGTTTACTGGGATAGAAGGGTAGAATCCAATGGCCAAAAATAACATCTAGGGATGAGCATCGGTGTTCAATTACCTGTGCTTTCTCTGGGGCATTTACCACTGGCTCACTCCCAAATGTGTGCCACTGTAAGAAATGCTCTGTGGGGTTGCTCTCTTTAAACATTTCTTAGCTGTTTAAAATTTTCCAAGGGGCGCCTGGGTGGCGCAGTCGGTTAAGCGTCCGACTTCAGCCAGGTCACGATCTCGCGGTCCGTGAGTTCGAGCCCCGCGTCAGGCTCTGGGCTGATGGCTCGGAGCCTGGAGCCTGTTTCCGATTCTGTGTCTCCCTCTCTCTCTGCCCCTTCCCCGTTCATGCTCTGTCTCTCTCTGTCCCAAAAATAAATAAAAAACGTTGAAAAAAAAATTAAAAAAAAAAAAATTTTCCTCAGTGTCACCAGATTTCAAATTGCCGGCTACGTGCAAAATGGAAATTCACAGTATGACTTTTGCTTCTCACCCACTAAGCAAAATTAACACTTTTATGCTTCCCTTCCGGAAAAGTGGCAAACGAAGACAAAAGCCACATCAGAGGCACTTTCCCTAAGACGTCCACCCTTTGGCATCTTCACCACTTTATAACTTCACGTTACACCCAACCTCACAGATCTGACTGCGTGAACCTCCTCCTGGAGATTTTTCACCAGCACAAAAATAAGCTCCTTTTGCAAGGCCATAGGTGAAATCATGTGGCAGTAGCTCATGAAGAGATTAACTGCAGCTAACCAGAGCTCTGTGCTCTTTTCAGAGTCAGAATGGATGTTGGGCCTTTCCAGAATTTGAGGTTAATACCTCTTGAGGGGTTCACCTTGGTAAAATAGCCAAACCAACCTGCTGCTGTCCCACAGAGGTCCCAGAAATTCCCAAAAAAGCTACCCTTAAGAGGTGTTAGGAAAAGGCCCCGAAATCCTCACCCTGCCACAGTGCCTTCAAGAGTACTAGGACCAAAGCACAGGGACATCTCTGGGGAGCAATGGTTCTTGAGTTAAATTTGTCCCATTCTAGCCCCAGAACCACTGATAAAGGCTCAGGTCAGAGTCTAACCTACACACATCAGTCATGGCGTCCATCCACATCCCCAGCTGACCAAAGACATGGGTGGGACCCAGGGAAGAGCCCACTAGCTCTTCACTCTTGGAACTAGGAAACAGTTTAGCAAAAGTAAAAGCTATTAAGTCCACTGAGATAAAGGGAGGTCAGACAAGGAACCTAATAATGGCTTATGGTGAGTCAATGTTATGAGTGAACAGAAGATGAGGAAAGACAACAAAGTACGTGAAAAACCAATTACTAGGAAACCAGTCGGGGCCAGTAAGTGAAATGCAAAAGACAGAGAATCACAGAAAGAGGGAGGAGCTGAGTAACATTAATGGCGGGACACCAGAAGCTACACGGACATTCATGGTGCCAAACTGGCTGTCAAGGCCCAGAGGTACTTTGTACCCACAGTGAACTTCAGGTTCTGGCCTCCCTGTGGCTGGCTCTTTCCACTTCCTACAATCCCACTCCCTCAATTGTCCCCGCTCTTCTTAAGCTGGCCTTGGTGACTTTCTGTTCCCGGCCATGCCCAAGAATCTGCCTAGCCACAGTGACAAAGGCATTTTTCATAAGCTTTGGCCTTCTATTTGTGGGCAAGGACTGCACTAACTTTAGGCCAGGCTCCAGCAAGTTCCTCTGAGCAGCCTCTTAAACGCAGGGGTTAATTTCACCCAGAAAACCCAGATGAGGAAGTAGAAGTACCTTACTAACTTGTTTTGCAAGTTATGGCTTTGAAGGTAGGAGGGGACTTGGCTGTCCGTCAGGACTAGAATGCCTCTCCTACTTTGACCTTCTGACCCACCTCTACTTACTCATCCTTTGAGACTCACTCAGCTTGGGTGTCAAGTCATTTCTGAAGCCTTCCTAGATGCCCCAGCTTGGCAAAATGCATTCCTCTATGCTGCAAGAGTTCCCCCTGCAGACCCATGATGGAATCTGCCCCGACTTCCAGACTGCAAGTTCTCTCAAAGCCCCTTCAGTAACAGGCCTGCATTCCCAGCAACTAGCACAGCGGCTGGTGCCTGCAGGCTGCAATACAGTAATGACTTTCAAGGAGGTCTGGACTACTAGCAAGGTCGCTGCTGTTCGGAAACCACTCAACAGGGAGGGCGCTTCTGCCCAGGTCCTGTGAGGAGGCACTCACCGAAATGGAACACAGTTTTAATTAGAACTGTTTTCAGCACATGTGAGTTTAGGTCTTACTGTTCCAGACTTCCTCTCCTACATAACTTCATGAACTTTTTTTTTTTTTTTTTTTTAATTTTTTTTTTCAACATTTACTTATTTTTGGGACAGAGAGAGACAGAGCATGAATGGGGGAGGGGCAGAGAGAGAGGGAGACACAGAATCGGAAACAGGCTCCAGGCTCTGAGCCATCAGCCCAGAGCCTGATGCGGGGCTCGAACTCACGGACCGCGAGATCGTGACCTGGCTGAAGTCGGACTGAGCTCAACCGACTGCGCCACCCAGGCGCCCCCATGAACTTTCATAAAAGACAGAAACCTTAAAAGAGATCCAGAGGTTTCACTGGACACGAGGGTTTCTGTTTGGGGTGATGAAATGTTTTGGAAACAGATAGTCGTGATGCTTACACAACAGTGTGAATGTAATTACTGTCACCAAATTGTACACTTAAAAATGGTTACAGTGGCATATACTACGTTGTAAATATTTTACTGCAATAAAAGATTTTTAAAAAGAGACAGACTACCAGTCCAGCCTGGCATCATTAACACTGCCACACCTACAGCTATGGTTCTTTCGTCCCAAATTTGCGAGTCTTCATTGGGTAAATCCCAATGTTCATGGCATTCCCAGGAGGAATCCCCGACGGGGTGATGGCAGGGAGAAGACTCTAAAGGAGTATGGAATTAGCAAGGGAGCCTGAATGAAACCCCTGAGATTGGATAAGCAGGACAGTAGTGGCCAACTCCCTCATTCCCTTCCGTGTGTGGTTGCCCCAGGCCACAACTTGAGCTGCCCTGGGACACGAGGCTGAGAAGAGGGTCATACTTGTTCTGGTAGGTGCTGATGGTCACGTGAGTAGAGTGGGCCAGACCTGGAGGAGTGTCCGCTTGATGAATGGTCCCTCTGGGGAAGTACAGGAGATCACCCGGCTAAAGGAAGAAAAAGAAAAGGGAGGAGGGAGTTAATAAGGAGGAGGTCTTCTCAATCCCTTGTCTTAAAGAAACAAAAATAGGCTCTGAGTTTCAGTTCTCCCTTCTAGAGACCTTCTACTTACTGATTCATGGGGTGGTCTGTATGCTGGGCTCCTGGGGTCCCGTTAGTCTAGCTTCACTGTGCCTGAGTCTGTTACTGTGAACCCCAGTCCTGAGAGGCTTTCAGTACCCGAAGTCACTTTCGTTATTCACAGCCGAGACCAGTTACACTTGAAACTGCCCCATCCCAATCCAGGGATCAAGCAGGTGACCTCCTGTGTCTGGGAAGCCTGCACCCTTCCTCTCCACCCTCTGAAGGGTCCAGTGATCAAGAGTAGAAGCTTTAGAGTCATACAGACGTTGCCATTTACTGGCGAGGAACCTCAGAAAATTAACCCACCAAAGCCTCAGTTCCTTCACCTGTAAAATGGAGGCAATGGCCCAAAATTCACAGACTTATTTTCAGGATTAAAGGAGATGCCATATCCAGAGGTCTTGGAACAGTGACAGGCAGATGGTTGTACCGTAAGTACTATTTTACCTGCCACTCCCCCATCAACCATCAGGAAGTTTGTGAGCTCTTCCAGGAAGGGTCGAGGTCCATCGTGTGTCCTCCAGAACCTGAACTCCCAAAGCATCAGGTGTACAATAGAGGCTCAATGAATGTGTGGATGACTAGTTGAAAAACCATGTAACCCTTCCCTTGAACCTAAAAACTAGATGGAACTGAAGATCAGTCCCCCTCTTGGGCAGGTGAGCCGCCTCCATCCTGTGCTAGGTCTCGCCCAAGCCAGGGGACAGAAATATCCTTCCTAAATCACTCCTGAAGCTACATCCTCCCCAATCCCACCCAGACGAGAAACATTCCATATAGCAGTTGCCTTAGGAGGAGAGGCAATCCTGATAGCCGCTAGCCTCCCGTCTGCAACACGGGAAGCAGTCTGACTCTGGTTAAGAGCCCAGGAGGTGTGGTTCAAGAGACAGCAGATAAAAAGACAAACAAACCAAAAACCCTTTCCTTAACGTTAAGATTTTCCTTTGAAAGAAACAGTATACAATTAAATATATTCATAAGGGCTATCTTAGGGGCTCATTCACCCTGAACGACACCAAACTGACAGGGAAATTACCACTTGAAGCAAATGCTTCACTCACAATTACAGCTATCATTTGCTCAGTGTCTCTGCACCACCCTCCAAATGAGACCTTCATTCATTCATTCATTCATTTATTCATCCCACAAACATTTGGTTAACCCCTCTCCATCCTCCTCCCACGCCAGGCAAGATGTGAGGCACCGGGGTTAGAGCATTAAACAAAGACCTGCCCCTTTGTAGTTCATTTGAGATGAGAGCAAACATTTGAGAAGAGAGAAGAGACAATGAATACAAGAAAAACACTCGAGTGGGGCGAGGCAGAAAATAAAGCAGTAAATAATGTCAAGCAGTGGTAAGTGCAATGAAGACAAAGAAGCAGAAGACGGACATGAATGATGCATATGGAGGTGATGGGCAGGGTGTGCCTGGGTTAAGAGATGCCACTGTCATCCAGGATGGGCGCTAAAACCTCACTCTGCTAGACTGACATTTCAATTGAGACTTTGGAGAATGAGCAAGCTAGCCAAGTGACTACCTGGGCCAAAAGGATTCCAGGCAGGGGGAAGAGCAAGGGCAAAGGTCCTGAGGTGAAAAATGTGCTTGGGTCCATGTGGCAGGAGAGCAGTGAGGGTGGAAATGATGGGAGGTGAAGTGAGAAGGCAGCAGAGGGGCTGGATTACAGGACCTTCTGGCCTGTTTTAAAGACTTTGGCTTTTATTCTGGATTTAATAGAAAGCTACTGTAGATCTGGGCAAAGGGTACAATGGATCTCAAAAGATCATTATGGTCATGTCAGAAAAGCCTGCAAAGGGGATACCAGATAGGAGGCTTTTGTATAAATTCACATCCAAGGGTTTTATCCTGAACAAGCAGGAAAATGTGTCACATTTACAGGAAAGAAGGCTGGGGACAGCACGAAATGGGAGTTTGCTTTGCAGAATACTAAGTTTGTGACACCTTTTATCTTTCCAGTAGAGACATTAAGTAGGCAGTTGGATAGGAGTTTAGAGATGTGGGCTAAAGACAGGACATAGCATTGCAAATACATCAGTCTAAAGGGAATTTATTTTTAATTTTTTTTTAATGTTTATTTGTGAGAGAGAGAGAGAGACCGTGTGAGTCGGGGAGGGGCAGAGAGACAGGGAGACACAGAATCTGAAGCAGGCTCCAGGCTCTGAGCTGTCAGCACAGAGCCCGACGCGGGGCTCGAACTCACGAACCGTGAGATCATGACCTGAGCCGAAGTTGGACGCTTACCGAGTGAGCCACCCAGGGGCCCCAATTTATTTATTTTTAAATGTCTTATTTTTGAGAGAGAACAAGTGGGGAGTTGCAGAGAGGGAGGGGACAGAGGATCCAAAGCAGGCTCCTCACTGACAGCAAAGAGCCAGATGCGGGGTTTGAACTCACAAACCGTGAGGTCATGACCTGAGCTGAAGTCTCAGCCCCTCTAGAGGGAATTTAAAACCATGGGAGTGGGTATGGATTGAGGAAAGAGGTCCAGGAAATAAACCCTGGCATCCTAACTTTCAGAGGTGCAAAGACTGAAGATAAAACAGCCAAAGAGAATGAAGAGGAACAGCCAGTAAGCAGCAAAGAGAAGCCAAAGAGGCTGGCATCCTAGAAGCCCAGTGAGGAAGGTGGGAGTGAACCACTGTGTGCAATGAGGCTGACAGGAGGATGCTAAGATGGGGACTCAGACGGGGGCACCTGGGTGGTTCAGTCGGTTAAGCGTCCAACTTCGGCTCAGGTCACGATCTCACGGTTTGTGGGTTCGAGCCCCATCAGACTCTACACTAACAATGCGAAGCCTCCTTGGGATTCTCTCCCTCTCCCTCTCTCTCTGCCCCTCCCCTGATCATGCTCTCTATCTCTAGCTCAGAATAAATACAACTTTAAAAAAAGGAATGATGGGAACTCGGAGGCAAGCACTGTACTTGACAACGTGGTAGTCCCTGGTAACCTTGGGGAGACTGGTCCTGGAGCAAATCTGGGGGTGGGGGGGTGGGGAGCCTCCTGGGAGGTGTTCCCAGGAGCAGGAGAGAAGACTGGGCAGGGTCCCTGAAGATGTCTGTGGCCTAATCCCCGGCATCTATAAATATAGATGATATGAATAGGCTGTGAATGGAATTAAAGTTGCTGAGAGGGAAATTATTCTGGATTATCCAGGCAGGTACGACATAATCACAAGGATCCCTAAAAGTAGAAGATGGTATAGGAGGAGAGAACCAAAGAGATGTCAGCGTGAGAAAGACTGGGCTCTATGTTCCTGGCTTTGCAGATGGAGGAAGGGCTGTGAGCCAAGGAATGCAGGAGGTCTCTAAAAGCTAGAAAAAGCATGGAAATGGATTCTCCCCTAGAGTCTCTGGAAGGAACAGTCTTGCCAATACCTGATTTCAGCCAAGGAAAACCAAATCCCTTCTGGACTGATGAACTGCAGAACTAAATGTGTGTTGTTTTAAGCCACTGAATTTGTGGGAATTTGTGGTAATTTGATAAGCAGTAATAAATGTACTGACATACAGCCGTCTCTTCCAAGGAGTTTCATTGTAAAGGAGGCATCAAAACCTATCCTTCCGGGACACCTGGATGGCTCAGTTGGTAAAGCATCCGACTTTGGCTCAGGTCATGTTCTCACAGTTCTTGAGTTTAACCCCCACATCAGGCTCTGCGCTGACAGCTCAGAGACCGGAGCCTGCTTCAGATTCTGTGTCTCCCTCTCTCTCTGCCCCTCCCCGCTCACACTCTGTCTCTCTCAAAAATAAACAATTAAAAAAAACAAAAAACAAAAAACTTCAGTTCTTACAACCTACAAGGTAAATATTATGCTCTCATTTTCAATAAAGGAGAAACTGAGACTGACATAAACAACTTGCCCAAGAACACATAGCTCTTAAGCGACCACAGCTACATTCAAAACCAGGCATGTCAGGCCCCAAAACCACAGAGTGGTGCTTCCATCACAGGGGTGGTCTTCATCCCAAGATCCCAGGTGTGATGACCTTCGTCGTGGCCTTCATGCCCACCCCGCCCAGAATGACTCAGCTTTTCTGTTTCATATACTAAGCATTTATGCCAAGATTTCATTTGAGGATCTTCGGTGGTTTAAAATTCACATGTATATAAATGTGCAATTGCGAAAAAACCCTACGGTACCTGATGCTTGCCTTTCTCCTCCTAGGAGACTCAGGGCTGCTCTTAATGAATGGAGATCCTCACAAGTGTGACCAATGGGCATCGCTCCATGACATCCCGGCCTCCCAGCACCGCCTCACAGAACCCACATCATCTATACCTGAAGACCACTATAAAGACTAACTTTCTTGGGTAGGGCCAGTTGGCTGTCATCAAGCTAAGGAACTCAGCCTGGGCCTCAGAGACCATGGATAGCTTAATCTTTCCCTAAAAATAATCAAACAAGAGCCTATTCAACATGCTTCATGGAGAACAAGGGTTGGTAAACTCTTTTTGTAAAGGGCTCCATGGTAAACATTGGTTCATGGGCCATGTGGTCTCTGTGGCAACCAGCCAACTCTATGGGTGCAATGTGAATGGAGCCCTAGACAATAAATAAGGAATACATATGGTTGTGTTCCGGTAAACGTTATTTACAAAAACAGGCAGCAGGCCATTATTTCTGGCCCATGTGCCATGGTCTGCTGACTGTTGACCAAGAACTTAAAAAAATGATACCTTTATTGTGTCCATTCAAATCTCCTGTAATGTAAGCACACATCAAAAAAGGAGATTGGTTCTCCTAGGTACCGGCGGGCAGGAAAACTTTTTAAAATCAAGAAAGGTCCATAAGGCATTGAGTAGTTATAACTAGTGATAAATTCAAGACACAAGAAATGCAAAAACAGTAACTATACACATCAAGTTGGTAGAATCTCTGGAATGGTTTGAGCTAACTATGGTATCTTAATTCAATATATAAAGTTGAATTAAGGACCTATTCTCATCCCTCTAAGATTTTTTTCTCAGCAATCTCACCTGCTAGGGATTGGCTACGAGTCCACCCAGGCTAACTGCTCAAACACAGACTCTTTCTGTAGCAAGATGCCGGCGAGCCTGCCACCACGATCAAGCCACCTGGCTTCCCGGAGTAAGATTCCTTAAGACCTTTCATTATTACTATTCTTCTGGTGGCTACACATGCAGGGGGAGGGAGGGGAGTGCAGAGAGGGTCTACTGTACAATTAGGAGGAGAGTGGGTCATGCTAGCATTCTACCAACAAAAAAACTAAGAAGCCCCTGGCTGTGCTCTGCCTGAGCAAGCTACAGCCCAGTCCTGACTGCTCTCTTAGATTTGGTGAAGCTGCCCCAGGCCAAACCTTCCACTTCTCAGTCAGTAGTCACCGAGCTCATAATCCATTCCTGTGGAACTTGGGTTATATTTGAAGACAGGTTGTTTGGAAAATGAATGTAACATTTCCTCAGCTCAACTCTACACATGCAAACACCAAGTCTCCTTTACAAGCTGCACGTGGCCGAGTGAGAGCCACCCTCCCCCCCCCCCCACGCTCTTGCGTGTATTCTGAGGACCATCACACAAACACTAAACCCCAGACCTGAACTTGACTCACGAGCAGCTCCCGTGATAGAGGTCCCGTACCTTCAACGTGAACTCATGTGTCGGCCTCCCAATCCTGTCCTCGGCCTCCACGCTGTACTCTCGTGCCAGGGGCACAGTGGGGTGGTAAAGGCACCAGTGTTTCTCCCCCTCCAGCTGCAGGATGAAAACCTAAAGACAGCCACAGGACCTGGGAATGTCAGCTTCTGGACAATTCATGAGGCAAAGCGGTTCTAGGGTATTAGCCCCCCCAAGGGCTTCGATGAATTACACATTCCAGATGGAAAATAAAAATGAGAGATTAGTGATATGTTTCACTCTACACTTGAATAAAAGTTGCCACTACTGCTTTTCACTTTTTAAAAAACAGGTCATCATGAACCTTGATACTGGAAGGATATTCATTCTTTTCAGTGTAATAAAGCCTCACTGGGCTCTTTATATCCCACTATCTCCTTCCTTTAAGTCTTCTATCAGACAACAAAGCCCATAATCTCTGAGGGAAAAGCCAAGTTTGAGAAATTACTCATGGTGCCTAAAATCCTGAATATCATCCTTGGCAGATAGGAAAACGTCAAGTTTTTTATTCTTCATTCAGCCAAAGATATCTTAAAGCTCTGTTTAAAATATTAAAAACAAAATCAAAAACTTTTGGGAAATGTATTGCTATCAAATTGCCTTCAGAGGGGGGAAAAAGGACACGTTTTACTAATAACTGTATTAGTATAAAAATAAAAGTACAAAATGCCCAAGCCAAAGAGTTACCTTTTTTGGCAGCCACATGAGAGTGAAGCAACACTTGTCAAGGTGCCAGTGCTTAAGTGAGACCATGACCTTCATTCAAGCTGCCCCAAGATTTTCACAAATGGAAAAAATTATCCATTTTTGGCAGCTCCAGAAAAAGGACAAAATGAAAGCAGATGTAAAGATTACTTGTGACCTCACTTTATTAAAACCCTTACGTTGTGAAATTACAGAAAAAGCCACTCATGCTTTTCTGTGGACAGATTCAATAAATACCTGTTTTGTAGGGATATGTAGCTCTTTATATTAGTAAGGCTGGAAACCATCTCTCCTGTTTGAGAATGAGCAGGAAGCCAGCTTGGTGGGATTAATTTGGCCCAACATCTAGGTGAGGTCAGGATCTCTAAGACCACACAGCAAGAAGGGCAGAGAGCTGAACTGAACCCTGACAGCTAACCCAGGCCCCAAGAGAACAATTTTCTTCCTCTTACCTCGACATCATCATAATGGGGTGGGAGGCCCTGGGATCCTGCAGGGGTTATGTATACATTCGAGCCAACCAAGGAGCCAAAGTAGCATTCTAGCTTCTCCTGGATCCTCCAAAGCTCATCCTGAAAAAGAAAGGAGGATAGGAGAAGAGGTGAAAAGTATATTAGAAATAAGAGGAAAGACACATTCTTACTCACTTAGCAAGTCTTTATGCTGCAGCTATTATGTTCCACATACCCAAGAATTCAGCAGTGAAAGAGCCAACGCCTGTGCCCTGGAGAACCTTCCATCCTGGTGCAGACCAGCACAGACAACGAGAAACTGGCAAAGCAGGCAATCAAGAGTCATGCAGGATTTTAAGCAGGACAATGACATGATCTAATTTATGTTAAAAAAATTTTTTTTTAATCTTTATTCACTTTTGAGAGACAGAGCCTGAGTGGAGGAAGGGCACAGAGAGAGGGGAGACACAGAATCCCAAGCAAGCTCCAGGCTCTGAGCTGTCAGCACAGAGCCCGACGTGGGGCTTGAACCCACGAACCATGAAATCATGACCTGAGCCCAAGTCGGATGCTTACCAACTGAGCCACTCAGGTGCCCCTTAATTTACATTTTTAAAAGCTCACTCTGGCTGCTATGTGGAGAATGGCCTGGAGAAAAGCAAGAGAGATCAGTCTGGAAGCTACTAAGGCAGTCGCCCAGGCCAGAGATGACCAGGGTGGTGGGGGAGAAGCAGAGAGGGGCAGATGCACCCTGGAAGCAGCACTGGCAGGGCCTGGGAGGCACCAAGTACAGTGGGCTGGTGGAAGGGGAAGACTATTCAAACCCTCCTGGCTTTGGATGGGCAATTAGTGCCTGGTTCCACTTATTGAAATAGTAAAGACTTATTAGAGAACAAGTTTTTTTGCAGGGGCGAAAGGGGAGATGTGTGCAGGGAGAGTTATACATTGGTTCCAGAGAGAGACAGACAGAGAGAGAGAGAGAAAGAGAGAGAAAGAGAGAGAGAGAAAGAGAGAGAAAGAGAGAATATGAATCCTGATTTTCCCAAGCAGATGAGAAGGGAAGCCACATGGTTATTAGCACTTTCTCTATTCCAAGCCCTGTTTCTAAGGGCTTTTACATATACTGGTTATATATGTCCCCAACAACCCTGTGTCTCTCATAAGGTGAGCACTATCATCCTTCCTGGTTTACAGACGAGGAAACTGAAGCATGAGAACACACAGCTACTAGATGACGTGGCCAGGATTTAAATCCAGGCAGCCTGGCTTGAGCACTTTAACCATGGCTCCATATTGCCTCTTTTGGAATTATCTTAAGGAAAACACAGGTCACCTACAAGGACTCTAATGGACATTCAAGACCCCAAGTCTCAAGTGTATGAAAGTACGGTGCCTGACACACAACAGACACTAAAATGTTTTTTTTTTTTTTTAATTTATTTATTTGCCTATTTTTGAGAGAAAGAATGCATGAGCATGAGTGTGCCCACAATCAGGGGAGGGGCAGAGGGACAATCCCAAGCTGGCTCCACTCTGGCAGCGGCAGCCCCATGTGGGACTCGAACTCACAAACCATGAGATCATGACCTAAGCTGAAACCAAGAGTTGGACACTTAGCCAATTGAGCCACTGTAGTGCCCCGCTAAAATGCATTTTTAAAAATTTGGTGAGTAAACCAATAACCACAGCTTAGGAATCAATCCTACCATTTGACTGAAAAAGGACCTACAGTATTAAAAGTTTCAAGTGGAAAAGAATTAGGTCAGTATAAAAAAAGCTTTGGGAGACATCTTTATAAAGACTACTGGGCTACTCTATTTATAGATCTCAAGGGTTCTACTTAACACAGGAAGAATAATTTAATGGCTTCTGAATAGCTCCAAAGAGTTAAGAGAGCTCCCAAGAAGCCTAATTTATACCAGGGAGGGGCCAGCAGGACCTGGTTCTGTAATTACATTTATACGGTGACTGAAACCATTAGAAAACCAAAGCTTCTCTTTCTAATGGCTTGAGAGGTATCTCAGGACCATGTAGGTGACTTTATGGTTCCCAGCCCAAGCATCTGGGTCTATAATTGATACGTATATGTCTCCCTTCTTGTTAAAGGTTACAAAAATCCTAGCAATTGCACAATTTTCCTATTTCTCCTGAACCTTTAGCTTCTGAATCTGCCAAGTATAGCCTAGGAGAAAGAGATCAGGACAAAGCACCTCAATCCAAGATGCAGTTACAAACTAAATGACTTTCACTTCTTTATTTGTAAAATGAGGACTCCACCTCCTTCCCCCAAGGTTGTTGGGGAACAGCATAAAACAACTTACCTGCAAACTTACTTACATTGCCTCACCAACACTGACTCAGGCACAAACAAGGCTCTTTTGAAACCAGTCTTCTTTAATTCAGGACTCGCAACTATGCCTGGAGCTGCCCAGGAGCACCCCAGAGCAGCGAAAAGGGAAGGTGGCAGCCTCTCCCCTTGCTGGGGACAACCTCCTCTCTCCACTGACCTACTCACAAAATCCAAACTGAATGCAATTGCTAAGACCAGAGAAGCCCACGGGTACACTTAGAGAAAAGCAAAAACACACACACCAAAGCCCTACTACATTTCAAATAACATCTTTAAAAGTATGGTATGAAACTGCCTCAAATTTGGAGTCGGAAGTGCTTACTTAGCAGTTACGAAAAAGTCACATCTCTGAACCTGTTTTTTTTTTTTTCACATGTAAGATGCAGACCACAATGAATGCTCTATTTTAAATGTCTGTTAGAAGGTTCAAGTGAACACGTGTATTTGGTAAACTCACCCAGACCTTTAACATATGGATTACCCAAAGCAGGAGTGGAAACAACTTATGGCTTTCTGATTCCTCCTTATTCACCTCCAGACCAACTAGAATAATAAGTTGTGCACATACTGAGACCCCAATAAACAAGGCACTAACTGTCCACTAAACAGTCTCCCAACCTAGCTACTGACAAACCATCTCTAGACTTTTTCAATCCTGATATTAACATGCACATTCCTAAATACACAACACTAGTCCTTCTGAGAAAATATTTAGAACCCAGATTCTACTATAAGAGGATGAGCTCCCACAGCTCCTATAGGTCTCTCTACTGGTGGAAAGACAAGAGGCAGGGTGCAACCCAGTCTATCCTGGGAGCTGAGTTTAGACTGAGAAAGCTCATCCTTCCTACTTTCATAAACCTGGCCAAAGAACAGAGTCAACGGGGCAAAGCAAGTACAAGTGTTTGGCCCACCTGGAATCAGAGAGGAGAAATGTACAGGACTTAAGAGATGAGCAGAGAAAAGCCAAAGATAATTCTAATGTACAGATATGACAGCCATTAAGGACACCATACATATGCCAAATAATAACTTTGTACTGGTTTGTGACCCAATCACATACAATCAACTTCACTGACCTTTTATGTTCATAGTTATTAGATGTCTAAAACACACATTTTTTTAAAGTTTTTATTTTTCTTCAATATATGAAATTTATTGTCCAATTGGTTTCCATACAACACCCAGTGCTCATCTCAAAAGGTGCCCTCCTCCACCTTTTGGGATGAGCACTGGGTGTTGTATGGAAACCAATTTGACAATAAACTTCATATATTGAAAAAAAAAAAAG